GAGAATTTCGCACCTCCTGTGATGTATGCGTGGGGCTCTCCGGTGGTAACGGAGAATGCGTGTCCAGGCTTCAAGTTGAAGTGGTTGAGTATGAAAGCGCAGAAGACGTCGCTGTCGTTGGGGTACATATCATGCAACTGCAAAACGAGCGATTTTATATCCTTTTCTTCGTCTGATTCTCTTCCGGCTTGATACCTCTCTACGAGACGTTTGAGTTGCACCGCAGCTTCTGCCTTATCTATTTGTGCATAGCATGATAACAAGTCTTTGAGGGCTGCTTTGCGCCCTGATTCGTCAGGCGAACATGCCACTGATGTGAAGTGTGCTATGATATCGGCTGGGAAGAGGGAGGCGAACTCTGGGACGAAGGCGAGGAACTCGGATACTCGAGATGTTGGGAGGAAACCGCAGAGAGCGCTGAGATTTGAAAGAGCTAAAGCCATTGCTTTTTTATGGTTCGAATCTGCGTATATTTGACATATGGTATTTCAAATTATAACGAGGCCTTACCTACGCACGCCCTGGGATTTTCTGAGTGTACGTGTTCCGCAGTGTGCTTATCAGGATGAATCTGCACGGGGAGTGCCTTGTCGAAAGACAAGACTTTGAACAAGAATGGAATCTGTCCGTTTTCTAAGCCGAACCGCTTGATTACGGATTCTCCGACGAGTTCTGGGTGGGCTGCGAGATGCTCTGAGAGCAGCTGTTTGGTGCCATGAACTCGTGTTGGCGCGTTTGGGTGAGTGCCCATCCACATCTATGGAATGTTAAACTGCGTACATATTATTTTAAAAGGACCACGAACCTCTGCGTAGGAATTTGATTCATCTACCTTGAAATCTGGTATACCTGAGCTGTCAGCGAGCTGAGCTACCAGTGAACTGCTCCCTTTCTTCCCCCATGGATAGTTCTGTGTTGCGGGAATAAGGCGGAATACTTGTTCTGTCATCGCGATTGGAGCGCAAAACAGGGGAACATCGCGAGTTATATAGCATAGCTGGCATCAATCAATGTCATCATTACTGGGAGTCTGGAGACGCGTGGGTCATCATGACGCGTTTTAGCACGTGTCATTAACCTTCGGGATTCTCCTGAATCTTAATTGTATGAACTGCATAGTACCGGCGATTGCCGTACACGGAAATCTACGCTACTATCATCGACCTCAAGCCCAAGACACCGCCGACGCCGACAACCATGGTCAACATCCCCAAGTACGTTGCCAGTCCCATTCACTAGCTTCAGAATCACTCATGGATTGCTGCTAAAAAGGACTCGCCGGACTTGTGAGCAACCTCTGTTCTTGTAATGAAATCGCGAAAGTTAATGGTTGTGTGTAGATTGCAAGGGCAAGGCGTGCAAGAAGCACACGTATGTCCATGATTTGAGCTTATGGGATCAGGACCGCTGAGAACACTATGCAGACCCCACAAAGTGACACAATACAAAAAGGGCAAAGATTCGCTGTTCGCCCAAGGGAAGCGTCGTTACGACCGTAAGCAATCAGGGTACGGTGGTCAGACTAAACCTGTCTTCCACAAGAAGGTGCGTTCTGTGCTGTGGGAGCATGGAATTCTGCTCATTGGGTTTTGGGATGTAGGCAAAGACAACGAAGAAGGTCGTGCTGCGGTTGGAGTGCACAGTGTGCAAGTACAAGATGCAGCTTTCGTTGAAGCGTTGCAAACAGTACGTCTCTGTTCTGTTCGAGTCATGTACAAACCTAAATTGTCTCCTGAAGCTTTGAGCTCGGTGGTGAGAAAAAGACAAAGGGTGCTGCGCTCCAATTCGTACGTCACTTTGCTTCTCATTGGGTTCTTTAGCTGATGGTAACTGTAGTGAGCGCCTTGGGAGCCGTTTCATATTTTTGTTTTCCATTGCTATGTATCCCCAAGTACATTATGACATGACATGCATGCATATCATCTTACGTGTGACTGGTCTCGAGTGACGTGCCTTGGCTAATGCGACTAGCCTATCAAGTTTTAGTGCGAGTGTTCGCCGAGTGTGAAGATAAATGCAACGCCCTCGTAACCACAGTTAATAACCGCCCATTTAGTAGAGCATAGGATGAAGCGATGATCCAAAATGATTAGTGCCGCACTGATTTTTTGAAATTGCTGTGATGTGGCTTGTGACCGTAAATTCTAATTGGCCCACTGTTTCTTGGTCAGTCATTCTTACATCGCAAACCTGGAAGTGGAAGGAATCGTTGGGGGGTACTACCCTTTAGTATAAAGAGGAGTCATCTATAGGAGAAGGATCTCTTTCATGCACGCTTCAAACGTAGTCGAGACCAGCGATTTTGTGCGTGTTTTTATCATTTTCGTCGAGGAGGCTGGCTGAGCTCATTGATTGTCATTGCAGACAAACGCGTCCACTTCACAAGATGACTCCGAGCTATCATCACATGCAAGCCAGCCTTTTACACCTCCAAGAGGTCGTACACGCTACCCTGACACCCTAGCTCGCGTCCCCTTGCATCGCCGTGGGACATCCAAGACATATGAGCGACTCGAAGATCTCCTTCGTGAGGCCGGTTACAAAGAAACTCGCGTCTTTACACCAGAATCCGAGCGACATACAGATCATGCAATCGATAAGCACACGAGCAGTGTGCGTGGTGGCGTAGGTACTGTCGTCGGGTTCCTCGCCGGCCTTGTAAGCCGTAATTCGAGTATGGCACGGGAACCGATCTCCAGCAAAGATTTACACTCTCAACCACCATCGCCGCTTGCACATATCAAAGCTCTCCACCCATCATCTTCCGCATCTTCCTATTCCTTCAATACATCGCCAGAAAGCCTTCGCAAGCATTCTCGCTTTCATGCCACACGCAACCTATTCCCTGAAACCCATGGCCAGTCTCTCGCTCCAAATACCTACATTCGTCATCAATCTTCATCCAACTTTTCCAAAGATGCTCCAAACGCTCACGCATATCTGCGACATATGGCATCAGCACCGAATATCCAACCTCTAGCTAAACGCCCCTCCTCATCGAACGTCTCCCTCCGTTCCCATCGCACTCCCCACGCACAACCTCGTTCTTCACGTCGAAATGTGGTCCTCACATCAGACGATATCATCGAGACAGACGATCCTCCACCGCTCCCTCGTAACTGGATGGAATCCGTCGCTAAAGCCCTTCTCTCTGGTGTGCCTGAGACTGCCTCTATGCGAAAAATGAACTCGGCGTTTTCAGAGGCGACGAATAGACCCAAGGAACAGAGACGGCCACCATTGTTATGCGCACAGGTGCAGGAGCAGCGCGCAGGTACGACTGAGGGGAAGGTGAGCCAGACGAGCGTCGTGTGTAGGTCTGCGCCTGCATCGCGTGCGGGATCGAGGGTGCGTAGAACCGGTGCTGAATACGATGAATCGAGGCATAGACGTGACGACGAGAGACGGAGGAGGAACAAGCGGGAGGAAGAATTAAGGAAAGGAAAAGGCAAGGGGAAGGGGAAACGCAAGGAATCAGATATGGTTCCTTCATTAGCCCGTACGAGGGTTGAGAACGATGAGTGGAGTATGAGCAGGTACCCCTCCGCGAGCCATAGACAGGAAGGCCCGTGTTCTTCCAGCTCATCCTCTGAAGATGTGGACGACGACGAAGAAGACGAAGGAGAACTAGACCTAGAAAGGATACTTGTCCCAGCTAGACGCCAAGCCTCCATCCGTAGTCTCCGAAAACATCTTCACCCACCCAGTACAGCAGGCAGCCTCCGGGGGCTGCCTCCGACACCTACCACCATCAGCACTACCAATAGCACCATCAACGGCCAACTCTCGTCTTTCGCTCCAGATTCCCGAGGACACATCTCGCTAGACGACTCCTGGGGCACAAGTAGAGGCCGCCGGTGGGTCGTAGGTGAAGAAGACGACGATGAAGGGGACGGGTATGGAAACGGGAACGCTAACGGCGCACTTTCAGCGTCTGAAATTGGGGGGACTGGTATTCGTACGCGTGCGGGGATGAAGCGCCGCCGCGGGTTGCCTGGCGCGTGGGCGCAGTGGGGCGGTTAAATCGATGCTGTGATGATAAAGGGACTCTCTCTTTCTCTTCCTGGTTTTAATCGTTTGCAGGGATAGACACACGTGCGGAATGGGGTTGGTTTGCTGGTACTTTGGATACTGGACCCTTCGTACGTGCATGCTCAACTATTCGCATTTTTTTTTCATCTTCGCTTTCGTTTCATGCACATTGTTATGGTATGGTATACATATGCTTTATTGATGTCGTGTCCATGGGTATCTCAGATCTCACTGGGACGAAGGATACGAGTAATTTACTTCGTTCTAACTCGAACTTGAAGAATATATAAATGTAATTGTTGGTGGTCATGAGTTTTGTCATTGTTGAACGATATCGATCAACGTTGCAACATGTGTGTGCGAGCCCGCGAGTAAACCATGTTGACTCGGATCAGGGGCCTTTTGGACACCGGCACGTTGCGAAATCTAGGCCTGACCGTGCTAGTTTTCTGAAGGAGGAGGGGGATGCACTGATGTATTTGCGCATGGTCAGCTATACACTGCACTGTCGAGAGTGCGAAATCATCGCGAAAATCTTCATTGCTGTAACAAATCACATCTTGATTTGTTACAGCAATAAAGGTGGATGCGGGTCACACATCATGGGATGTAGTAATGGTGTCTATGAAAATGTCTGCCAGTATGGATAATATGGTGAGCAGAACGTTAAATATGATGCAAAAAACTAGCAGTCCAACACTAGTAGTCTTTCCCAAACTATAGTTTGGGAACAAACTACTAGTGTAGATGTACGAAGTCTAGAGAAGACTCAGCGGAAGTTAATAGAACAACGCTGAGGTGGGAAAAGGCGCGAAGCGGGTACATAAGGGTCTATGGAGGATCTGTGGCTGAGTGGCAAAGGTGCTGTACAGTACATAGCAAGAAGAAAGAGAAATGTCATATTTAGAATGTGCTTACTATGTGAGGTGCATCCTCAATCGCGTTTCCGCCTGCACAAGACAAGCCTCTCAGCGGTCCTGAGGTTGCGGCTCGAGTCCCGATGGCAGTGAGACTCCCAGAGGAGCTCGAGCTGATCTTATCACCAAACGTATGAAGGTTTTATTGGAGGCTGAAGTGGGTTGTGCTTTGGTGGCTTTCTCAACATTGTACTCCTTCCTCTTGACCTCGGATTCCTCCCTCTTGACCTTGGCCTCCTGCCTCTTGGCCTCGGTCTCCTGCCTCTTGGCCTCGGTCTCTGTTTCTAGTACGTCCTCAGGTTTCTCCTTGCCTTTCAACTTCTTATCGGAGGTGTTTCTGGTGGACGGCAGTGAATTGGACACGGTAGATGGATGCATTGTTGTAGCCTTATAGGGTGTGTGGGCAGGGCGGGCAACGTGAAAATGGCGGGAGAGGCTGACTGGCGGGAGAGCTAACACTAGATTATGACATAATACTGTAACGGCTTGATGCGTACATTTTCCTTGAATCAACCTGCACTGGTGATAGGCACTCGTGCGAAGAGTTTAGGGCAAGCGGGGCCCTCCAGCTCAATGCTCGGAGGACCCGCAATCAATTTTAATACTGGGAAGTGACAGCTCGTTTGAAAACAGAGAAGTACGTATAGTAAATAGAAAGAATCAGTAATGTACAAGTCACCAAATGACTGGTGACTGAGCCCCCTCCAAACGACTGGTGACTGAAAAGTCGAGAAAGTCAAGTTTGACTCTCGACCAAGCGCTAGAGGGCTATTTTTATTTTATTTTATTATAAATAATGCTGATGACGTACTTAGAATCCCCAGACTGTTACAAGAAGTTGATGCAAACGAGAATTCAACCAAGCAATTCGAGCGTTAAGCTGTCAAATCCAGTGAGTTACGGATTTTGAGAACCGTGTATAAGCAAGTGAAGCAGATAAGGGTGCTTTCGAATGTATTTCTGAAACTCATCCGAAGACCAGCGTCCCGCTGCCTGAATCAGCGCAGGCGCGACACCAGTCGCAGCTAGGGCAGTGGCACCCCCGGCTCGCATCGAATGTCCAGAAATAGTTGGGGGAAAGAAAAGCCGAAGGTAACGCATGAACCATGCACGCGTCGGGATAGTGCCACTCGTAGTCAGCCAGAGGTGTGGATGGTGTGGAAAGCGACTGTCGCGAGCACGTACATACCGTTGTAGGAGAGCTAGAGGATTCACTCTAGATTCAGGCTCTGCCATCACCAAGATCTCACATCCTACTCCCAAAGTGCTCGTCTTATGGTGAGGTAATGTGTAGCTTGCCGATGTTGCAGACAGCATGAGAGAGTGGCGTAGCGCCACTTTACGATAGGATTGGTGTCGTTTTGCATTAGGCCAGCAGAGCTCTGCGAGACGTTGCAAACTCTTGAAACCTGTAACCAGCATTGCCACAAATAGCGTATCGTCGTACTCTGTAGATGATGCGAATGTGTTGACCACAAGAGTGAGATCATCCAAAGTGAGTGGTTGTTTGCGTTGAACAGGCTTAGATAAGCGACGTTTGCAACCCTTCAGAGTTCGCGTGACGAGCAAAGATGTCCGTATTTCACGAACGTGCGGGAAGTGTGTCTCCAGACGATTGACAATTCCCGAAAGATATGAGTCCACGGATCATGGCTCGATATGATGTGATAGCCACACCACGAAGAAGGACAGCGTGTCCGCAGTTGGCTGAGCCCCTTCAGTGAATTCACCCGTATTAGACGGACAGCTGAGGGTGACAATGTAGCAATAGAGGCGGGCCAGCCCATGTGGGCCCATGGCAACAATTGTACCATGGTAGACGAGTGGGCTGCAGGGTTGTGTGTACCTGTTGCAAACGGATGGGCCGGTGGTATATAGTGTAGATGGTAGTATAGGAATGTACTATATAGGATATCTATGTAAATAGTAGTGAATGCAATGAGCTATAGAGACGAGTGGGCCGGCTGAATGGTGTGCAATGTAAATGAGTGGGCCAGGGAGATGGGTATGATGGGGACGAGTGGGCCGGGGGTATGAAGTGCAATGGAGACGGGTGGGCCGGTATGCAAAGTACAATAGAGACGGGTGGGCTGGGATGAGAAGTACAATTGAAGACGAGTGGGCTGGGGGTATGGGGTGCAATGGAGACGGGTGGGCCGGTATGCGAAGTACAATAGAGACGGGTGGGCTGGGATGAGAAGTACAATTGAAGACGAGTGGGCCGGGGGTAAGGGTGCAATGGAGACGAGTGGGCCGGTATGTGAAGCACAATGGAAGACGAGTGGGCCGGGGGTATGGGGTATAATGGAAGACAAGTGGGCCAGGGGTAAGGGTGCAATGGAGACGAGTGGGCCGGTATGTGAAGCACAATGGAAGACAAGTGAGCCAGGGGTATGGGGTATAATGGAAGACGAGTGAGCCGGGGGTATGGGGTATAATGGAAGATGAGTGGGCCGGGGGTACCAGGTGAAATGGAGACAGGTGGGCCTCATGATATTCCACCCGGTGGACAATGGAAATATTTGCCGGTATGGATGATACAGATGAGCCGGAAGAGCGTTGTGGGACAGAGGTGAAGGTGAGATGGATGATACAGATGAGCCGGGCGTCCGGTGTGCGAGAGGTGAAGGCGAGATGGATGATACAGATGAGCCGGATGTCCGCTGCGTGATAGAGGTGCAGGTGAGATGGATGATACAGATGAGCCGGAAGAGCGTTGTGGGATGGAGGGGGTATCTGGTGCATACAGAGTATACTAACCGGAGACGAGTGGGCCGGGGGATAGGGTGAATATATGATGTGGGTGGCATGATGCCTCATCCGGTGCATACAAAGTATATTAACCGGGAATAAACATCCGGTCCGTCTCATATATACATCCGGGTCTATACCCATACAGTACGTCTATGATATCAAACGAGATTGACAAGCAATATATGTGGCCCAATACATGGAGTTGCTAAATATCTACACGGTCATATTTTGCATACTCCGTGCTCGGAGTCCCAACAAAATTGTGGATGCTGTCTCGCATGTACCATGCAGTGACAATCCTGTTGCCCTCTTCCACGTTCATGTAATGTCTCACCAGTCGACATGATGAAGCCAATATTGAGCCAGAGTCGTAGAGAAACTTGATTCCAAGGTTCATGAAATCCATGATAACCGGGCGATAAACACCAGCAGTAGTCATGATATCAAATGCTGCCGGTCGACATTTAGGATCTCTATGAGGGGGTGTCCGGCGATTGCATATGATCGATACCACATTAAAAACGGATGTCCAGCGTTGAAGATGATGGTGCATCTCGTTCAACTCATATCTGGCAGCCCATTTACCAAGCCTGACTTGAGTTTCCATTCCGGCCCAATAAAGATCAGGGTGCATGACTCGAAGTGCAGCAGAGACAACGATACCGGACCTTTGAAGGGATGCTGTAATATTGTGACCGGCAGCACCTTTCAGTGCCGCTGATACCTCCGGCGAGAAGCCATCTTCCGGGTCAAGATTCGGGAAGCCATGTTTCTACAATACTTCCAACCAGAGATTTCAATGCATGTGGACCTGACGCACCTCTCTTCCTTGCTGAAACCATGCAGGAGATATATTGATGCAACCGGGGGTGATCATTCCATCTGGACTTGTATAGAAGTTTGACCGGTGGGTCCTCCATTGAGAAATCTTGCCTGATGTGATGCTATGCTTCAACAAACCACTCATGGAATGTGTGGCACCGTGAATATCTTTCTAAGTAATGCATCCGGGTAAGATAAAAGAACAACTGGAAATGGATAAAGGATAAAGGACCAACCATCATCATAGAGGTGAGTGCTCCAGGCAAATACCAGACAATGATTCTACCGCCAGAATCAATGACAACAGATGGTGTTGTCAAGAGGTGCTCCTCTTCAGGGGGGAATTTGTTCAAAAGAACCTCTTCTCGTGTCTCACTTCGACCGGATTCATCTTTGTCCAGGGCGTCATTGTATCTAACCATGTCTATTTTAAGATGAACTTTCTGCAGGTTAGTTGACCAGAACAGACAGGTGTGCCGGAATACATACCGGCGTTAGAGTAAGCAGTGGCCATCACATAGGCTAGCTGCTCCAAAGCAATACAAGTGTCGATATCCAAGAGTCCAAGGTCCATATCCTTTACCGGTCGGTGAAGAATTGTAGATGTGAAAATCTCATGCACCAATTCACCGGCAAGGTAGGTCTGGTACAAGGCCCAGTCAAGTGGAATTGTAACCATGGCTTGCCGAAACAATTAAGTGACAGGAAAGCACCACTGTTATATCCATTGGAAAAAATAGCCCCATATTCACACGACCTGATTGCATAGACAGACTCCATTTCCATTCAGGTAAATATGACGTGATGGTATAAAAGATTGGCAGGATACCGGCGGACATTGGGTTCTACTTTACTGTGAAGTGGATGCACTGTGATCTATATGTAACCGGTCAATGAGTGCCTGTGAGGATGACACAGCCCGTGTGATTTCATCAATCGGCCCAACCAATCCGGTCAACCTATCACTTGATCGCCTAAGATTCATCATCCTTGTCTGCAACATATCCAGCAACTCTCTCCCGATCGTTGTCTGGTGGCACGGCACACCAGATCTTGAACCAATTATATCCGGCGCATTATCCGGACCACGCACAATATATGGGAGAAGACCAGTTTTCACATGATCCGGCTGTAATAAATGGTGTGAGCATCTGGTGCATCCGGTGTTAACAAGATCTTATGGACTGACAAGGTGTGAAAAGTGCCATTCAACCAAATCCATAACATCTTGGACAGATGACTTGGGCAACATATCTGAAACCCTGCAACAACCAAGTGATTCCTTCCACCAGTCATTGAAGTAGTCCGGCATGTGAGCAATGTCATAGTCATCGGATTTGTTTGAATCTGCAGAAAGGCGCAATGCCCGGATATCCTGCAAAATGGCATTGACATCCAGTCGCCGATCAACCAATGTGTGAGCAGTCATGGTTGAGAGCACATCCTTGAGAAGTTGAGGAATAGTAGCTGACAACCGGGTGATAAAACATATATTGATGAAAGGTGTTGCAAAGGTCTATGTCAGAGAAAAGGATGAGGGCATGGGAGTATCGGCATGGCTGGCTCCCTACCTCCATCTCCCATTTCATCAGGGTGTAGAACGTCTCTGCATAACCAGGTATGGCAGTGGCAAAACTCTTGTCGACATACAGGCGCATGGCCAGCATCCGGGAATTGGCATAGAATAGGGCACGAGAGATATCTGCAGCTGTGATGTGATTGCCCTTGGCGGCAATGATGACTTGGTTGGAGGGGATGAGAGTTACAGTATTGTCCATGGAGAGGAATATGAGGCTATGGTGTGACCGGCACACTGGGAATATTTACATGCCAAACACAAGGGTATATTACCTCACAGGTCTTATCAACCGGTGACCACAATTATGTAACTAACCCGGCACCGGTACTTCTATCCGAACGATCATTTCCCGCAGAGCATCCTCTGCATATGCCGCTAGTTGTTCATATATTATCAACCGGTAATCACAATTATGCAACTAACCCGGAACTGGGACTTCTATCCCAACGATCATTTTCCGAAAAGCATCCTCTGCATGTGCTGCCAGCAGGTCATATATGTGAGATTGTCTGGCAGCATAACATGTATGTCCGGTGAGCCCTGCAGAAGTAGCATTGTGCATGTGACAGAGCCATTGCTTGGCTCTGTGGGTGAAGAAATTAATTGACCACTGCATTTCGTGTTTGACAAGAATAACCTCCTCATTCCAGCGATCGCGCAGTGCTTTTGTCCGGAGCCAATTAACCCGGTAAACTATAATTAGAACATGTGAGACTGGACGACCTCATAATCAGAAACACTAGACACACATTCAGTCATCCAGTCATTTCCTGATGTGTCTCCCTGAACATCCAAGGACCAGAACCATGAAAGAGTGGTATCTCTCTGACCACGTGCATTTGGATCGGCCACCGCAGAGCTGGCTTTCAGGTCTTCTTTCTTCAAAGGAAGGTATTTCTTCAAGAGGTCGTGGTCAGGGAGTTTGGCCAGTTGCGACCGGCATTTCGAATATATACGAGCATGGAGATTGACTGCTGTTTCAACTGAGCGAACTCGAGTCCATGCCCTAGTAGATGAAGCCTGTGACTTGGCTGACCGGACAGTATTGCGGAATAAAACAGCTTTATCTCCTAAATGAACTCTAATGGCATGCAGTGCGTCATTGGCCTGACCTTCTCGGAGGGCAATTTCTTCTTTGATGAGATTGGTGAGACCTAACTCCCTGCACCTCACTGCACCAATGTTGGATGGTAGGGGTATGACAGTGAGCTCCGGTTGAAATATGGAAGCATTGTGTACGTCCAGATCAGGATTTTGATCTTCGTCAAAATCGGAGTAATCTTCACAATCATCCAGTGAGTTACAAACAGTAACCAGACAATCCGGATCATTGACATTGACTCCAACTCCGAGATAAGTAGGTGACATCTCAAGAAAGCTCGTGATCTGAGTGTGAAGCTTATCCCGGCATCGAGCCACTCTCAACAGTTGCATGTCCGTTGGGTGCATTCGCAAACTTCTCACATCCTTGCAGAGAGATATTTGCGATTCCTCTATGGTAAGACCGGTTGCAAGCCAAGTGGCGGCTCCTCGTCGACCAAGAGGGTTGATGACCGGATGTTCAGGGCGATTTTGAGCCTGCAACAGGCGCAATTCCTGCTGTTTCTTTGTTGGCGCTGCACGACCTCATGATCAGACCTACCGGACAGCCAATAAAGTGGACACTTGCCTCTTTCCAACCGGACCTCATAGATGTCCATAGCCGTAGGATCCTCTGCTCTGTTTGCATGAGCCAATGCCTCCTCTGCCTTCCAAAGAACTACCATGTCGGGGTTGGCGGTCTCGTTAAGATTATCAAAAGCAAGTTTGCTTTCCGAAGCCCCCTTGATGGCCTCTTTGAATTTTCTGGACAGAAACTTAGCTACCGGACGTGCCATCCGGACATGAATTGTATGAGCGCCGACAACACACGCACATCTGGAGGTGGGTGACTTACTTATACGAATCATTTTCATGAAATTACAATCATTCATCTGATAATCCAATACCTCCTTGCGATGGGGAGTTCCCATGCCCCTGGCCGATGGAGATTTATATTCAAGGTGCCCAGAGGGTTTCCATAATCTCTCCGTCTATCCGGCCGGTCCCATGGATAAAATTTGATGCATACCGGACAAAGCAGTTGTCTTGATGTCCATGTACATGCCACAAACCGATTCCAGGAATGATATCCATACCTATGGGGATGGAAAGATACATGCTGGAAGCGATCCGGTCCTTCAAATACTTGTTATACTGACAATTTATGTCGTAGAATGTGATGGCTCGAGAGATTCCGTCGGTCTTATAGTTGAGAGCTTGACTTAATGCATAGTCCATGTTCATCTGCCTGATTATTCCACGTAAGAGTTGTAAGATCATCCATTGATGTGACCGGATGCAATATGTACTGACCTTTCACCTTTCTGAAAGTCAACCATGGAATGTGGGACAAAACATCCATGCCGTGCACATGCACATCCTCCTATACCGGTGGCTTCCAGCCTTTGCCGCGAGGCGTTTGCTTGATTTACTGCCCGGTGATTATTGCAATCCGACCTTTGGACATTGTCTTGAGCAATGGCCAAATGGCTCTTGTATCTTTCATCGGAGACCATGAACCCCAGACCATCCATTAATGATACTTCATCGGATGGATTCACCGGATGCATGTGCTCGGCTTTGAAATTGCCATCCATGACCAAATACCTAGTCATGAGCCAGGAAGGTGTATCGTCAGGCTGGGCGACTGTACTGGTAGACAGGTCCAAGTTTATACCCGGTTTGCGGACATGCCGGACAAAATAGGGCAAGATCACCATCCTTTGGCTGGTCATCTTTGTGGGCAAATCCATGCCACTTGTAGAGCTTGCATTGTCGCCACTGCCTGGCAGCTCTCATGAGCTCTCTATAGCGATCCTACAGATATCGTTCTTTAATGACCAGAATGTGAAGTACAGAATAAAACCCAGCTCACCGGAACCATCAGTGGAAAGATGCTAGAGGTGAGTCTGCGAATTTTGCTGTAGTAATTCATGGCCGATGTACCGCACTCGAGATTGTCTAACAGAAAGTCGTCCAAGACAGCGAATGTGAATGCAGTTTTTGGTCTGGTGAAAGACGCCGGAAACAAGCCTGCTTGAAAGAGCTGTATGTCTCGGCTGAGAGCACTGGGGCATTGGCAATAACATATGGAAAGGGAGTGAACGCGGACTTGTCTACTACAGTTATTGCCGGACGATCTGAGTCTCTGACCGGTTGAATGAAAGGTCCTTCCGGATAATCGTCATCTATATTGTCATCGGTATCTGACCACTGAAAGAAGTCTGATGAGTCATCGGTGCTGCTGGGACATGGAGTGCCGTCGTGAGCAAGGTGAATGTGCAGGCCAACTTAATGAGTGAAGTTTCTTGAAAAAATGATCCGGTCCATTGACTGATGCGATGGAATGGATTGTCTTTGATGTTGAATTCTGCAACAGTCTGTGCAAAAGAGTGGCTCATTGAAACAGCCATGACATCTATACACCCCATCCTTCTTGCAGACTGAGCAAGGTCGGTTGCTGGTGGGGCTTCTCTGATCATGAGTGAATTTATGTAGTCCTTGAACTTGCATTTCCATTGCCGGAGATATGCATTCTGACTCTGTATGGTCCGGTCAGACCGGGGAAATGAAGATAACTGTTGCTTGCCTGGGATTTTGGAAATTTAGGCTGGGGGATGTTACCTTGGTCAAACTCAAAGTCAGCACCTTCATAGAGCAAGTGAGGCGACCCAGATTTATGCTTTGAGGGTGATTTTATTGGTGATGATGTTACCGACTTTGTTTTCCTAGCCCATGAATCTTTCACCCAAGATGACCTCGATCCCCTGGTTGTAGTTTTTTCCTTGAGCTTATACAGCTGAGGTAATCGTTTCTTTGTAGGAGGGGTGTATGTGATTCCCTTTTGTTTGGTATTTGCCATATTGACTGGAAAGGATCGGTGTGCTGTAAACTTGATGACTGGTAGCCTAGCACATGACTTCACTGCGGTGCCTTCCATCAATTCCAGTTTCCGGGGATTTTGAACCGTCGAGATTACCACATTTTCCCTTCTTAGTCATTGAACTACCCAGTCATCAAGGGACCAATTGATCCGGTGTTGTTCAGACTCCGAATGGTTTGACCGGTCGGGATTACCACATTGTTCCTGTGATCTCACCGAAGATCTTGCAATGTCACCTGTATGGGATATATTAAGGTTGGAGTCACTGAGGTTGCCATAGTTGCATGACATCACAAACACCGTAATCCTCCCATTAACCCGAGTCGCATGGATTTCATGTTCAAGTTACATGACAATTGACTGGATAAAGTACATCGACCGGAGGTTACATTTCAATGTTTAAATACTTCTTTCTAGCCAGCATTCTGGATTGTTGGCTGTAGAACAATCATTCAGGTAATTACGAGGGTTCGGCAGCAATATATACTTCTTTCGATTAGATTATTGACGAGTCTGGCAAAGTCAATACATTGATTAAACTTTAGTCGAGGGCACTGGCATTGCAAAACATGCTCTGAGAGAACAGTTCAAACCAAATAACCAACTCTAGAGACAAACAGGCTTCTGGTTTGATCTTCAGGACACCGGCTGTTAATGTCCACATTCATGCTGGCCTTCAAAGTCATTTGTGATTATACTTACTTGAGCAAGTTGTGGAATATGATTGCACAGGGCGGTATCCAGTATTTGAGGGCTGTATGCTGCCCATATACTATATAATACAGGTCTAAGTCCATATGCTTTTACAGTTCTACATTCTATGAATCAGAAACACATAGGATGTTGAGGGATTCATACCAATGAACGAGTATTGGACAATCCTTTGTTCGGTTTGCAGTCACGTACATCGGTTATGTAACCTATTACTGTGAGATACACATGCATCCTTTCTTCTATCAAGACGTCCACTGCTCCTCAACTACTTTGCCATGCCCCGGTCCAACTCATCAGTCGATAGCCCAAAAAAGACCAAGCAGAAGAAATTAACCGATGAAGAGGTGCTGGTCTTGAAATCCCACCTAGAAGAATGGAAGGAAGCAGCTGCCAACGATAGAAAAAAGATTCTGAAGGCCGTCATAAAAGAGGCCAAGGTGCATGCCCCTGCTATGGATGACCGGTCATTGAAGAACAGGAAATATGTGAGCAGTAGAACTTTAAATTTATACATGATGACCGACTTATATCATGATGTATCAAGACGTACCGGGACTGGTTATATAACCGGAGACCTGAAAAGACTCGAGAAAAGAAAGCCAACAAGTTCGGTCAGAAATGGACTTCCCGGTCGGTCATAGAACAACTGCGCAAGGAGGAGATCATTGAAAAGACCGGAGCAATGCCAGGATCGAAGAAATTTATTGAAAGATATCAGACAACACTCACTGCAGTGGTGGCCAGTCTATCTAAAGAGGAGCTGGAGGAGGCTCAGAACACTGCGATTGAGTGGTCTGCCAAGGCTCCTCCTGCAGCTGTTCAGGCGGACTTTGCAAAGAAGAAAGCACCCGGTATGATGAAGGATCTGGCAACAAAGTTGTGGAAGCAGGCCGGTATGAGAATTTTCATATTGTCAGCATGGAAAACAGAGGAAGACGAAGTCCGGATCAATGGGTGAGTTCCGCTTCACACTCAACCGGTAAAGATATACTGATCCGGTTGAAAGAATTGACTTCAATGAAAAGTTGGAGGGGAATAGTTATACCGATACGAAGGACTGGAAGTCCATGTTATCGGAGTGGAATGCCTATGCTGGTGAAGAGTTTGGTGAGCTTCTGTTTGAAAATCTTGCGCCATTCAGTCAAGTACTTATCTGACCTGGGGTGATACCAGACGTTGACCTGAATAATGATGACGATGATAACGAAGAGGAGGTGAAGAAGAGCAGGAAGAAAGGTGGAAAGAAGGACGATTATCCTTTGGAGGTGGATAGCTATGGGCTGCCGGTCATACCGGACGTCACAGAGCTTAACCTAGAGAGCAAAAAGCGTCTTATAAGGACTTTCCTCACAAAGCACTACAGTCAGTTTCACAAATGATGCATCTGGAGAGTTGATCTGCTGACCAGCAATTTTTCAGGATTGTGCAGCCAACAACCAAAGGCGTCTGTTCCTTGGGCCTCAGTCAGGATGGCTCAGGGTGACTTTATTGCAGCCAAGTTTTTACCTACCGGCTGGAGGCTCGACGATCCATCAAAGATTCGGCTGGCTGATGCTGACCGGCTGTTAGAGTTGTGGTGTCAAAGACAGAAGGACCAGGTTCGCCCAACCTTTGAATTTAAAGGCTGGGAAGGCGATGATAAGACAATGAGAGAACCGGCAGAGATAATCTCTGGCAATGGTTCTGATGCGAGACCCAGGGTTCCAGTGAAAAAGTCCACCGGAAGGCGCACCAGGGGGGTGGAACCGGTGTCTAGTAGTGAGGATAAGGACAAGGATGATGAAGATGAGGAGAAGGACGACGATCACTATCACGATGACAACCTCCAATCACCACCACCAAAGTCAAAATCTATCAACAATCGCCCACCGGTCAAGAAATCCATACCTGTCCCACCACCACCTTCAAAGGCAAAACGGGCCAATACGGTCCGCAGCACTAGTCCGGCGTCAGAGGAGGAAGATACTCGCCTACCAGTCAAGAAATCCATACTGGTCCAACCACCACCTTCAAAGGCAAAACGGACCAATACCGTCCGCAGGGCTAGTACAGCTTCAGAGGAGGAAGATACTCGCCCACCGGTCAAGAAATCCATACTGGTCCCACCACCACCTTCAAAGTCAAAACGGACCAATACCGTCCGCAGGGCTAGTACAGCTTCAGAGGAGGAAGATACTCGCCAACCGGTCAAGAAATCCATACCGGTCCCACCACCACCTTCAAAGGCCAAGCGGACCAATACCGTTCGCAGGGCTAGTACAGCTTCAGAGGAAGATACTCGCCCACCGGTCAAGAAATCCATACCTGTCCCACAACCAACTTCAAAGGCCAAGCGGACCAATACCGTCCGCAGCACTCGTCCGGCTTCAGAGGAGGAAGATACTCGCCCACCGGTCAAGAGATCCATACCGGTCCTACCACCACCTAAATTAAAATCATCCCAAAAGAGGGGTAGGGTTGCTCCCATTCAATCTGATTTGGAGTCGGATGGTCCGCCACCAGTCAAGAAATCAAAGCTGACTGCAAGTGGAAGGGGACAGGCAGAAGACAACACCAGCACCGGTTCTGCACAATCAACCGGTAATGATGACAATGATCCTCTGCCTTCGCAACATCTTTCTAGAAGTCGTGCATTTGGCCCTACATCAGGTGTCTATGCCAAGAATAAAACTAACAAAGCACCGGTGCACAAACCAACACCCCCTGCCCCAAGAAGGGACTCCGGCAAGAAAGCCAAAGCATCTGAAGCACAGACAACCAATCCAGAGCCAAAGCGCTCTCATAGAAGTACAAAGGCCTCTTATAAAGCTCAGTATATGCAATCGTAGTAATTTGGATCGTTGTAAGCAAGTATTCTAGTGATAGGTGTAGATAGCATTTGACTATAAATATATACTTCACGTTGAAAGTCGAGATATCGACATCAGTTGACATGCCAACAATAACTCTTGTGTACAGTCAAGAACTTGCTCTCTAGCAAAGGCTTCGTCCGGCGACATTGCATTACCAGCCCGGTCAATCTGCAACCGGTGCATTGCCTCGCGCAAATCACCTACAGCCCGTTGAATTACATATCCAACTGGATCCTGTCGACTGACGGCGACTAAGTTTAAATGATCAGAACAATCTCGGGAACAGCAAGAAGGCTTACAAGACTGATCCGATCAACACGTACCGGATCCATCTCGAAACCCATATCTAAAGGGTGTTCTTCCGGTGAAATATTAGTCCCTTTATCAAGCGAATCATCTGCCAGATATGTGCCGAAGCCCATGTCAAGAGCCCCGTCTTCTAGTCAAATATCGTTTCAAATGAGTGTCAATTTATGAGATGTAGATTCCAGCGACATGCCTGTGTTGCCGGCCGGATCACAGAGGTCAATATCAAAGCCCAAATCAAGCACATCTTCATCATCCGGCTGTGGAGGAAATCCCAAATCCAACATCTCACCATTTGACCGGTCATCATCAGACAAGGTGGGAAATTGCATATCCAACATGTCTGATTGTTGTTGGTCGTGGTTGTCGGTCATCTGGTCATAATCTGACAAAGGAAATCCCAGGTCCAGTGACCGGTCGTCATCTGCCGGTTCAGAGTTCATCTTCAATCTTTTACCGTCTTGCAACCCATCATGGGCTGACAGGACATCTAGATCTTTAAAATTCATATCAATTGTCCTTACCATCGCTTAGCATGAGATGAACTCACATTCACCCATGCTTGAACAAACCATGAAAGGGTTGTAGTAAGTGCGCTCCTCTCTCCCTGGCTCCAAGATGCTATGAACTGGGATGCCGGATAATATCAACCGGTACGTTGTGGGAGGTGATGGTTTCTTACCTACATCCTCACTAGATACATGTAGATTATGCTGAGCAATCGCCGATGATCGCATCCTTCTTTTCTTCTGGAATGGGTCGTACAAATCCACGGACTTCATGATATCACTGGAAGAATCATGTTCTACAGAAGGCTGCGACCGGATGATGTACTCACAGGTTGGTTGGCAACAATTGATTACTGATGACGTGTCAACAATGAGACATTTATATCTAAAAATAGACTGACAACAATGAGGCGAACAATGGACTCGGATATGTCCGAGTCGGCCCGGCTAGCCGGTGATTGAAAATTTTATAAGTGTTGTTGTTTTACACGTCTCTTCCGGGTGACTTGTCCACTAGCTCTATTGTAATCGTCTCACTATCATGTCTTCTCAATCTGCTTCTGCTGCGGCTGCCAACCAGGCTCTCATCGCTCTTGTCGCCCGGCTCGATGACATGGTTCAAGATGTTCTCCGGTCGCAGTCTCAGGATGAGAAAATGGAGTTGAGCCACGAGATTGCTCGTGAAGTGGTATGTTTGTCGTCCTGTCGGTTGCCTGTATTGATACTAGGGTCCCAGAATGTCGCGATTCGTTCATATGGGAGGGACGCTTCATATGTTCCCCCTGGCCTGCTGTCACTTGCAGCTGAGATCTTTCGCGCTCAGAGGCGCACCTCACAATTGGTGGTAGTACCGGATTGGAACCATCTTGGTAACAATCAGGATATGTGCATGAAGCATCCATTGTACAGTAAGACATTGGGTCATGCACCGCCTGCTTCACCTGCAGCTACTGGTAAGGATATTCCTCCTCATGCAACCTGTACTCACACCTGTGACTGCACTAGCTCCTGCATCTGCACCTGCACCTGCACCGGTACCTGCCCACCACCGGTACCTGCCCCACCACCGGTACCTGCCCCACCACCGGTACCTGTTCCAGTACCGGCACCGGCCTCTGCACCGACACCGGCACCACGCATCAGCATTCGCATACCTAAAGATGTGCCACCCGGTGGGACAGCAACAGCCGGGACATCAACAAACCGGAAACGCCGGCTCAGCAGCCCCCCTTTGCCCCGTGTCAACCGGGCCCGGAAGCCTGCACCAAAGTCGAAGGCAATTTTGTCTGACACTGACACTACCGACAATGACAAGGCAAAGGCAAAGGGGAAGGGGAAGGGGAAGGAGAAGGGGAAAGGGAAGGCAAAGGCACCGGAAGATCATGGCGATGAGGATGGCGAGGGGATCGATGTGGATGATCTTCTGGACGTTGAGGTGTGTTTGTTTCTTGAGATATTCAACGTTACTAATGCAACAAGCAGCCCCGGAAATCAACTCGTCAGGCTGTCATCGTTGTCAAAAAGAAGGGCAGTGCGTCGAAGGCAAGTCAGCGGGTTGTGATTCAGGACGATGAAGAGGATGAATTGGAGGATGAGGATGATGATACACAAGGCAGGCCAAAGGCAAGTTCATTATTTTACTTCACATTTACCGGTCTATCACTCATCACGATGCAGGCCACTGTCAGACCAGGGAAACGGCAAAAACTGGTAGGATTTGCTTGTCATAGCACAGGTGATATACAACGCTAACATTATTGAATAGTCCATGCAGCCCAAGGGCAAGGCCACCAGCAAGGGCAAAGTGCCAGAACCAGTGTGTCTTCCGGTCAATGCCATGCTTCACCATACTAATTCTCCATAGCCCCGCGTTGATGAACCCCATCCGCCTTGTGATAGATGTCTGGCCAAGAATGTCGAGTGTTTCCCCCGATTGACGAAGAAAGGCGAGATCGCCTCGACTTGCTCATTGTGCTATCTGTGGAAGATGGC